GATAGATAGATAGATAGATAGATAGATAGATAGATAGATATCCTGTCTAAAAGAGACCCACCCCACACACACAGAATAAAAGTAAAAGGATGGAAAAAGATATTTCATGAACATGGAAACAAAAAGGGGGGAGTAAGCTATACTTTTATCAGACAAAAATGGACTTTAAAACAAAGGCTATAATAAGAGACATAAAAGGACATTACATAATGATAAAGGGATCAACCAAACATGATCATATACCTTGTAAGCATTTGCACCCAACATAGGAGCACCTAAATATCTGTAGCCTGGCAGAAGTAAGGCCTGCTTGAGTGAGGTTGGTAGGGTAGTGATATGGGTGTAATAATTTATAGTTTTAATTTGAACATTTCATCTACATTTTACCAAAAATTCAAATAATGAACACCTATCCTTCTCAAACTATTCCAAAATTTCAAAAAGGGAAGACTCCTAAATTCATTTTATTGGCCAGCATTATCCTGATTCCAAAACCAGATAAAGACACAACACAAATAAATTATAAGCCAATATCCATGACAAACACACAGGCCAAAATCCTCAACAATATATTAACAAACCAGATCCAGCTATATATTAAAAAGATTATAAATAATGATCAAATGGAACTGATTCTTTGGATGGAAGGTTGGTACAATATCACAAATCAATTAACATGATATGCCACATAAACAAAATGAAGAAAAAAATCATTTTATCATATAATACAGAAAAAGCTTTTTGACAAAATCTAGCACCCATTCATGATTAGAACTCTTAGCTAAGAGGGAATATAGGGACTACACCTTAACATTTAAGACCATATATGACAAACCCACAGTCAACACTATATTCAATGGGCAAAAACTAAAAGCACTTCCCTTAAGATCAGGAATAAGGCAGAGATGTCTGCTTTCACCGCTCTGATTTAACCTAGTACTGAAAGTCCTCACCACAGCAATCAAACAAGAAAAAATAAAAGGCACCCAAATTGTGGGGGGGGGGGGGGGAGTAAAGCTGTCATTATTTGCACATGACATGATACTATATAGAAAGAATCCCAGATTCCACAAAAAAAAACAAAAAAACACTATAATGAATGAATTCAGTAAAGGAGGATACAAAATAAATATTCAGAAATCAGTTGCATTTTTATGCACCAGTAATGAACTATGAGAAAGAAAAACTAAGGAAACAATCCCACTTACAATTGCACCAAAAGACAATAAAATACCTACAAATAAATTTAACTAAGTAAAAGACCTGTACTTGAAAAGCTCTAAGATACTGAAGAAACTGAAGGCACAAATAAATGGAAGCTACACTGCTCATAGAATTAACATTGGTAAAATGTCCATATTACCCAAAGTAATCTATAGATTCAATACAATTCTTATTGAAATACCAATCGTTTTCCTCACAGAACTGGAAAAAATAAACCAAAATTTTATATGGAACCACAAAAAACCTCGAATAGCCCCAGCTATCTGGAGAAAAAAACAAAGTTGGAGGCATCACACTACATGATATTAAACTACACTCCCAAGGCTACAGAAATCAAAACTGCATTGTACTAGCATAAAATCAGACACATAGATCTACAGAAAAGAATAAAGAGCCCTGAAATAAAATCGCACCTCTAAGGTTGATTAATATATGACAAAAGAGGCAAGAAAATACGAAGGGGGTCAAGACAGTCTACTGAATAAATGGTGGTGTGAATACAGACAGATAAATGCAAAAAAAATAAAAGTAGGCCACCTTCTTAGACCATATAGAATAAACTCAGAACAAAGACAAACATAAGATTCAAAACCGTAATTTCTAGAAGAAAACATAGACAGTAAAATCTCTGACCATCTCCTGGGGCAAGAGAAAACAAAATAATGGGACATCAAACTAAAAACTCTGCATTGCAAAGGAAACTATCAACAAAATGAAAAGACAACCTACTGAAGGTGAGAAAATACCAATAACACCTCTGATGGGGTAAATACACAAAATTCATTAAGAACTCAAACAAAAAAACAATCTAATTAAAAAATGGGCAGAGGACCTGAACAGACATTTCTCCAAGGAGGATATACATATGGCTGGTATATGAAAAGACGCTCAATGTCGCTAATCAGAGAAATGCAAATTAGAACTACAATGAGATATCACCACACCTGTCACATTGGCTATCATCAATAACCCAACAATCGTTGGTGAGAATGTGGAGATGTAACACCAGTGCACTGTTGGTAGGAATGCAGATTGTTGCAGCCACTATGGAAAATATCATGGAGGTTCCTCAAGAAATTAAAAATGGAAATGCATTATGACCCAGCAATTCCACCCTGGGTAAGTATCTGTAGAAACCCAAAATACCAATTCAAAATAATATACGTGTATTTTCATCGCAGATTGTGGTACATATATACAATGGTATTACTCAGCCATAAAAATAATAGAATCTAACCATATGCAACCGCATGGATGGACCTAGAGGGCATTATGCTAAGTCAGAAAGACAACAAATGCCATAGATTTCACTTCTATGCGGAATCTAAAGAACAAAATGAACGAACAGAAACAGACTCATAGACACAAAGAACAGACTGACGGTTCCCAGAGGGAGGGGATGTTCTGGGAGTGGGTAAAAAATATGAATGAATTAAGTACAGATTGGTACTTACAAAATAGTCATTGGGATATAAAAGCAAGCATAGGATATATAGTTAATAATATTGTAATAACTATGTATGGTATTAGGTGGCTACTGGAAATATCAGGGGGAACACTTTGTAAAGCACAGAACTGTCTAACCACTGTTGTACACCTGAAACTAATACAATACTGAATGTAAACTGTAACTGAAAAAAGTGTTTAATGAAAATTTTAAAAAATTCGACATCTGGGGAAAAAAAATTGTTAGGATGCCCATACTACCCGAAGCCATCTATATTAAGTACAATCTGATGTCCTGGCTTGTGTGGCTCAGTGGACTGAGTGCTGGCCTGCAAACCAGAATTGCTGGTTCAATTTCCAGTCCAGGGCCCATGCCTGGGTTACGGGCCAGCTCGCCAGTAGGGAACGCATGATAATTGACCACACATTGATGTTCCTCTTCCTCCCTCCCTTCCCCTCTCTAAAAATAAATAAAATCTGAAAAAATAGTAAGTACAATCCAACTAAAAATTTTAAGGTATTTTTACAGGAAAAAAAAAACCCCTCTAAAATCTGCATGGAGGCACAAAACACCTTGAATAGCCAAAGCAATCTTTGAAAAAGAACCAAGCTGAAGGCACTGTACTTCCTGATTTCAAACATTATAAACTATAATGGTCAAAATTATGGTATCAGCATAAGCGTATAAACCAATTAATCAGACTAGAGAATCCAGGCCGGGGGGTGGGGGGAGCCTTGAATATAACCTTAGACAAAGGAGCTAGCTGCTCAAAGGAGATAGTTTATCTCCAAAAAATGGGGTTGGAAAACTGGGACAACCACATGCAGAATGAATACTGAAACTGACTCAAGAGAACAGACTGATGATTGAGAGAGGGTTGGGGGGGGGGAATGAGTGAAAAACAAGAAGGAACTGAGTAGTACAGATTGGTAGTTACAAAACAGTCACAGGATGTAAAATACAGAATAGGGAATATAGCCCACATTGTTAATAACTTAAAATATCAGGGAGGTCACTTTGTAAAGTATGATTGTCTAATCACTATGCTGTACATCAGAAAATACAAAATATTATTGAATGTAAACTGTAACAAAAAAATTACTGGCTGAAAAAGACACTAAGCTTCTTAATACCCAAAATACAAAACATAGGCTAACATCTAAATGACTGGACACTTTAGGAAAACCCTCTTCTTAGGAAGCTTGAAGGAAAAATGTTTAATATCCTTAACCTACCATTATTGTTTTAAACATTAATTTATGTTTTTTCCAAGAGATGAGGTAGCTTCTTCAGAAATATCAAATTAAAATGTGTGTGGAATTTGATTCTATCAGTTACTACCTTGTAATCTTGGGCAAGTTATTAGCTTCTCTAGGTCTGTCTTCCTATCTGTAAAAATAGGAAGTCAGCTGGTGTGACTTGGAGTATTGTCCTGTGAGCCAAAAGGTCAGAGGTTCGATTTCCGGTCAGGGCACATGCCTAGGTTACAGGTTCGGTCCCCTGTTGGAGCATGTATAGGAGGCAAACCAATCAATGTCTCTCTCCCTCAAACTGCTCTTCCCCTCTAAAATCAGTAAGCATGTCCTCAGGTGAGGATAAAGAAAATTTTTTTTTAAAGTGGGATGTTATAAGAGGATAAAATAGGTCAATGTATGGAAGCACAAAGTACCTTTACATATTAAGTGCATAATATGATTTATAATTTCTTATAACTATTATTTTAGGAAAATGACTTCAATATTACTTACCAGTTTAACATTTTGGTTATATGCCTACATCTTAGAAATTCATCAGTTTAAGAACTTACAAAAGAAATCCTTAGATTCTAACTTGTGTAACTTACTGATGATTCTAAATAAAATATCATTGAAATGACTTACCTTATATTACCAACTCCTTTAATTAAAGGCAGTGCTGAAAACAGAACCACAGTTTTAACTGTTCTTTCCTTTCTACCACACTTCCAAGATTTTAACACTTAGGCTTTATTGTTCAAATAAACAAACTACTAATATAGAATGCATGGGAAAAAGTTATGACAGTAAGAATATAAAAACAGTACACTGATAGCTTTAAATATTTTCCAAGAGTGAAGTTCCTAGGTCCCCACTCCAGGCCAATAAATATAGTCAATGGAGAACTGTGATTTGGTATACAGGTATAACCCAAGAACCTGAAATGGAAGAAAATCTTTCTTAAACTGTTTTCTTGTATGAGTCTTTTATTTTATATGGCTTTGTTACCATTGGGAGGAATTGATGGTTAACTTAAAATATGTAACTATAAGAGGATTGAATTTTAAAGTAAAGTAGAAAACATCCATAAATTTGTTCACTAACAAAAGTATTATAACAGAAAACCATAAAGAGTCCTCTGACCAGAGTAGATCCTAAAATGTTACCACAGAGGAATAAATGCTTAAGCAAAATATCAACATAATTCCACTGCATATCATTAGTTCTTACATTAGAAATAGAAGTAAGCTTTTAATATAACTGGCCTAGGTCAATCATTTCTGCTAAAATATGTAAAAAAAGACAATGGGGTTCCTACAATTCCTAAACACATAGCATTTTTATGTCCACCAATGTGTTAAGAAAACAAACTTGCATCCAGACAACAAAGAAATACAACTGATGTCAATCTTTACCAATTTATTTTATACAAAACAGTAGCAATGTAGAATATGGGGATTATCTTCTGCTGCCACACACGCAAGTTGTGAACATTCCAAGCCAATGTTTACAGTTTGGAGGGGAAGGCTAAACAATAGCATCAACCATGCTACTGAACATGGGAATTTTTTTATTGAAAAAGATTAAAAATTAGATAGCAATGTCTTCATAATATTGCTCTCATCATTGAAGACTGAAGAAAAATAAAGTCACTTAAGATTTAAAAAAAGAGGGAAAGGGTGAAACCAAGAGGCTGCCATACAGTCAGACCATCATACTTCAATAATTGCATACTTGATAGCAGCATTATTTTTACTGAACCGTGTGCAACTACAGTTAGAAACACATCAAAGCAAAATATCATGGCAGTCATCAATCAAAATCCAAAAGAAGAAAAGCAAACAAAGAAGTAACTCTAGGATGAACACACTATAAGTAGATGAACATTTACGGAGAATGAATCAATATCTACATCTGTGGACTGTTCCATTCTGCCCCAATAAAAGTGTCAACTCAAATTGTCAACTGTGCATTTTTTGGAGGATTTGAGTTTTTTCCAGTTCTTATTATACTGCATGCTTGGAACAAAAAGGGTCATAATAAATCCTTCTACACAATGAACTTTAAGTAGACAGCTGAAAATAAATTTACTACTTGTAAACACACACAAAAAAAAAATACAAGATTTTTTTTATCTTTAAACAATCAGTGCTTCCAAAAGCACATTATCTTCTGTATCGACCTCTTTCCCCTCGGTCTCTGTCCCGATCACATAATCGTTCTCTTTCTCTTTCTCTATCACGTCCTCTATCTCGCTCTCTGTCTCTTCTGTTGTCTCTGGGGCGGTCCCGCTCTCGTTCCCAATCTCTTTCACGGGGTCTACTTCTCCGACCACTGACAACAGCTTGTGTGCGACGAAGGAAATCATCCACCCTCATATCATAATCGTGCTAGAAAAGGTAAGAAATTGTTTAGGTATGTCAAAAATTGAATAAAATTTATGAGTCTCTATACTGTAATTACTGTCTGGTAAAAAGAATCTAGAGAAATGAACTAATGCATTAATTCACAGAAAGTAATTCTGATATTAAAAACAAAATTTTGAATGTTTTAAGTAATTAGATACTTATTATCTCAATTAAAAAATTATTCCATGCAGTTTCCTAATGTAACTTTAATGACTTTTCCATCCAATCCCTTAAATAAGATTTAGGCCAAAGTAAATCACCTACTAATGACCATCAAGCTCATCATGCATATATGCTGACAATTATGCTAAATGTCATCAATGTTTTTCTGTTAACAGGTAAACCCTACTGATAATCTTCTCCTTGATTCTAAGATACAACTCTTAAGATACAAACTAAGATACAACTCTATCCTCTTAAGGTGAAATGAAGAATTCTCACATCCTAGATTTTCTTTCCAACCAAACCATTGTTGACGACAAATAATATATGAAATTTGAAAAATTTCAAGAAAATATGTACTTCAGGTAAGACTGTGGATTCCACCACAGCTAGTAAGTAATACTTACTGAGGAGTACAAGAGCAAGATGAATAACTGTCTTAGGTGATACAAGCTGTCTTTGTCACTAACACTAAGCTTGACCCCTGCTCTAGCTTTCTACTCTTAATTCTCAACTCACCTTTACTTACTGAACTTAAGTCTCTTTTCAAAGGTCAACATAATGTACCAAATAGAAGATTCAAAAACACAATTACAATTACCTTTCATATGTAATGAATATGTGTCATATAAGCATTAGTCAGGATTCTCAAACTGTTTTTACTGAATATGAAAGGTCCTAATATAATATGATTTTGAAGAATTAATACCTTTGTTAGGATAAGGTAGTGATTTTCAACACGTGTGCTGTAAGAATTTTTAAAACATGCAATACCTGACTTTTTAGTCAGGCTCACTGAGCTTTTTTTCCCTGAGACTGTCAAATAAAAAAATGACAACAGCCAGAACAAAATAGCCATCCAGTGTGAATGTCTTAAACCATAAATATGCAGGTTATATAACAGTTGCATCCTACTGGTCATACTGATTGTAAGGTTGCGTCCACTTGGTTATTTCTTGGTACCAGAAATCCTTATATACAAATATAGACAGCACCTGATTTCTTAAAAAGTCACTTTGTAAATTCAATTAAAAAAATAAGCGACTTTTTTTGGAACAAAAAGGGCAGGTAATTACTACTATTATTTTGTAAATCGATCAAAATTGTAACTATTATTTCTTGCTGTGCCACAGAATTTTAGTAGGTTATGTGTATCACGAGAAACACTGAGATAAGGAAATAAATGAAAACAGATGAAAGTACCTCAACGATAAGCAAGGAAATTACTGGGCAGATCACCCTCACAAGTGTGCATACTCTTTGTCTAACCGGGAAAAAAAAAGGATGTTTATTTGACCCAGCACAAACTCCATCTCAAGTGGGTATGTGCACGCATGTGTGCTGGGAGTTAGTGGTTGGGTGGGTGAAATCCCAAATTGTATAGCCTATCTTAAAAGCCAAACTACCTTTCTAAGGCTACCAAACTTACATACAAAGGTATTATACTAACAAGTGCCAGGAGACAATTTCACTTTTAAAAATGTAAGTACTGTTAGGGAAATACTGAATGCCATTTAATAAAGTCAGCCTCATTAGTTTAAAAAAATAAACTCAAACTAGGGATTATCTTTCATTCATCCTTTTTTTAAGTGGTAAAAAAAGCTTTCATATCAAATTATTAGAACTAGTAACTATTAAAGTACAATCTACTCTTCTGCTACATCATAACATGTTTGTCATATGCTACCATCCTAAGAATCAGAGATATGGAGGTGAAACGATTCTTTTGGTTACTAGTTTTAAACAAAATTTGGTAGAAACAAATGACTAAATGAGATCGGAAATTTATCTGTTAACTAAATATGCACCATCTATCCTATGAAAATTGAGTCCGTCAGAATATACAAAAATCTTAGAAATACGTACTTGCAATAATAATAATTACAAAATAATAAATGAAGACACAAAATATCGTAGTATATCATACCCCTAGGACATAACCTAAGAGCTGTATTTGTATGTATGAGTTACCTCAACTTAAGCCGTTTGTTTAACTAGTAAGAGAGATACAGTCCATTTAAATAATCCAAAGGGATTAGCCATTTTTAATAAAAAAACAAGTTATGAATTACTCCAAAACTGTTTGCAGTAAGAATATGAAACAGTCTACCGTTCAAAATAACATGGTAGCACCTACATTTAAATTATCTACAATTCTAAGTAGTTTCCTCACACTTTTGCCTTCTCATGCACTTACTACTCGTTTATCTCTGTATCTTGCTTCATGTGGTACTGGATGATGTCCTGAGTAAGGGGGATGAGCTTGAGGAGGTGGAGCATGGTGCTGATAGTAAGGATGGTGTGGAGGTTGTTCCATTCCTGGATAAGGAGTCTAAAAAAAACCCCAAAACACAAAAGCCCTCTTCCATAAGTATGTACCAAACATCATAAACAAACCACTCTTAGGATCCCCCTACTTAAACCACCCATCCCAAACAAATATTTAATCTGTACTAGCCATCAACTGTGACAGTATAAAGGTTCTTCCAAATACCTTATGTGCTTGTTGGGAATATCTCCATAATAATCTTTAGTTACACATCTTTTGAGATTTAACATGCTTATACTTTAATACAGTATCATTTAAATACTAATAGAAGTAACAAACCCTTACATACTATGAGTCAACATTGTCCTCAGCACTTTACATGTCTCATTTAATTTTCACAGTAACCCTATGAGATAAGCACTACTATTCCTATTTTACTAAAGGGGAAACTGAGGCACCAACAGGTTAGGCAGCTTGCTTAAAATCACAGTATAATAAGGGGTTGAAGCTGGGACACAACATGGGGCTCTAGAATCAGTCATTTTAACCATGATTTAAAAATCTATTCTTAAAAATAAAAAAAAATCTTCTAGTAGCTAGTAAACTTTTAAATTGATTGTAAATTAAGGGCAATTCAAAGGTTAGTTACTTCCCTTGTTAGTGTCAAGATGTTATTAAATTTTTGTTTTAAATTTCATAGAATCTAAAGGAAAAAAAAAAACAACTTTGTAACATCCATCTGTATACAGGCCCTTAAGTAAAAAAAAAAAAACGTCAGATAAAGGGGCTACATTCAGGCAGTATTTTTTTTTTCTTTTAAGGATAAAAAAATAATAACTATTTAAATTTCCAAGTTTTTTATTTTTGGGGAATGCTTCAGCTATCCCTGATACCTTAAAATGTACTCTAATACCCAGTTTTCATAAAGGAAAATATTAAAAATTAGAAATAGGATTTAATTAACCTTATTTTATATAGTGAGTTTACTGATTAGGGTCAGGCACTATACTAAAGCTTGCACTATTTTTTAAGTTTAGCTTCTTACCATTCCTATGAGACTGACACTATTCCATCTAATATTAAGCCACACAAGGATAGGTACAATGTCCATTTCGCTCACCAGTGGATAACCAGAGCAGGCACAGTGCCTTGCAGAGAGTATGTACTAAATATTAGTTTGATGAGCAAAGAATGAATGAATGCTTACTGAGTTTTACACTGAAGGAAAACTAGGAAATTATAAAATTTGCCCAAGTCAGAATTGAGACGGTAAGGTATATGAACTCAGGCAATGCTGGTACCACTAGCCACCTAAAATAAGAAGCCATAACCCTTATTAAACCTGTTATCAACACAAGTCAAAATATTCATTAGTCTTTAGTTTTAAAAACAGCAGACAATTATTTACTACCAGAGATGTGTATTTTAGTCTCTTAATAGGTAACCGTTAAGAATGATTTTGATATAAGCAATCAAAATACACAGAACTGCAAATAAAGTTAAATTACTTGCAAAAATAGAATACAAACCATTCCTTGCCAAGGTGGTGGTGGTCCCATGTTATGAAATTCCCTCACATAATCATTGTAGGACTAAAATAAAAGATGATAATGTCAATAACAAATAGAAATAAAACCCAAAACTACAAAATAAATCAAATCTTGATTTTATGTACTTTTAACATACGAAATAAAATGCTTACCCCATTTAAAAACACATCTCGGCGAACTCCTGAAAATCGTCTGTTGGGAATAAGATTTGTGAAACTAAATTCAGGTAATTCATAAACTAGTTCCAAGAATGTAATTCAAAACTAAGCAAGAGTGAACCAAACTTACCTGTCTACTTCCTGGTATCGTGGGTCCTTTAAATACCCTGTTCAAACATCAAGCATTTTAGTAAATGAAATTTATAGTTTTTATTATGGCATCATAATTAAACCTTCCTTACCACTCATCTCAATTCTTCCCATGAATACTGTGATGCTATTAAGTCACACTATTATTGTATTATTCCATTTTCAGATTTTCTTCTCAGATTACATGATAATCTAGGAAGTAATAATTTACTGGTATCACAGAATTATATACTGGTAGAGGTTTTCAATATGGATCTTCTAAATCCACACCCCAATTTTCGCTAGATAATTTCTTCATTCTGCACCATAAGGAAAGTAAGGGCAAAGGAATTATCTTGAGGACACTGCAACAGAATTTCTTTAAGACAAATGTTTACCTTCTACCTGAGTATACAGTCTTGCTAGGTCAGCCACAGACACTTTATAAAAATGCAAACTTAAAGGGAAGAAAAACAAAAACTGCAAAAATAAAGATGTATAGATTTTAAATGAAAGAACCATGGCAATAAAAATATTTTTCCACCACCTTTTAGTAAGGTCTCAGCATATTAAAATGTAAAAAATTTAAGTGGCCATTTTATTGGAGAAAAACTAATTTCACTCTCTGTAATATCCCATTTAGGAGAAGAGTAAGTCTAAGCCACTTGTTATATAACAGTGTTGTTATGCTCACTAACACCAATTTCCAAATTGCCTAATTCTTATGAATGTATCACAATATTAAATAAATATCTTCTTACAAATACAGCTTTCATTTTTTTTTTTAATCTGTTTAGGGAAAGACTAACTAAAAAGCTGGTTTTTAAGTTACAAACAAAATATTTCCCATTCTTCTCTAAAAACAAAGTTAAAAGATTTTTATTTAGAAAATAAAGCACACTTTCAATTTCCAATCAAAGCTATATACCACTTGAAATACTAAACGTCATAGGAAAAAGCAGTGTATGATTATTGCTTTCCCTAACTATACCTAACCTTTTGCAGTAATTATATATTAGCAATATCCGATAATTAACAGATTTTAAGATAATGAGTCACACTAGAATAAATTAGACAACCTTAATAAAGGAGAGGAAGCTGCTAGGTGAGAACTATTAATAATTTTCTAAAGTTTAAGAAGTCATGTCCTAGTTTTCTCACTTTTACAACTATAAAATTACAAGAGAAGTTTTTGTGTTTTTGATTTTTAATAATTTTAAGTCAAATATCTGCAGGATTATAAAATATTAACCTGGTCTTTGGTGAAACTCAGGGGCATAGTCAATCCTTGGTTTCTTTCTGCTGTTATGAATATCATAATCTTCTGGTCGACGCCTACACAAATTAGACATATTAGAAATTAAACCAAAAACTGCTGGGAGAACAAATAGCAAAGCAAGAGTTTCTGACAGAAATAAGTACAAAAAGCTGCCCATTATTTCCTTTAAAATAACACCCGAATTTGTTTAAGTAAATAATCTTAAAATGTCTACATTTTAATTTCTCAAATTACTATAAATCAATCTTTAAGTAGACTGTTGGAAGTAGATATTCTCTGAAATCCTCAGGCTAGGATGAGATGCTGGAAAGAGGAATCTGCTCAAAATACATAAATTACATTTTAGTACTCTAAACAAAAGTAAGTGATTCACCCTAGAACTAATTTAAATATCCAGTTTAACAATGAATGCACTTTCCCAAATAAAGTCTCCGTTCAGGTGAGAAAGGAAAAAATTACTCTATCATTACACAATAGGTAACTTTAAAATCTATATATTTAAACTTAGTAACGTCATTTTAGGGTCTCAACAAAATTAAGAATTTAAATATTTTTCTTCTCTTTGCACAAAATTATACTTTCCATATCATCATACAGAAACTTTGATAACTTATAAAAGTGACTTTACAGGAATGTTTTGAAATTCTTAATACTACGAAAAATAAATTGCTATATTTAATAACATTTAGGAATTAAGGGAATTTCTTCCAGAGACAATGCCTTAAAATAAAACTGGCAAGTAATGGGGCAGAGTTTTAACAGAGTTCATAAAAGGAGTTCAAAGTATATTCTTTAGAAGGTAAAATTTTACTCTCTGCAGTGTTGCTCTCTACTGTCTTCCATAAATCTTAATGTTTAATGTAATACATAATTTAGTACACTTCATTTTAATTAGCATTTAAAAAAGAGCTACACAAACTTTTTAAATATCCAAGCTTTTTAAGTAACAAATATCTTTTTACCCTTAATGTCTAAAAAAACTCTATCAAAAACTGTCAAATCTGGCATCACTAGTCTTCCAGCTATTTCTGAGTTATCAATTGCTTTCATTAACCTCTGCAACACAAGTTCACGGAAACTTAAGTGCAATTACCCCAAGCCCCACCCCCAACAGAATAAAACAGTTGCATCTACAATAAATAAAACTAAGAAAATTAAAAGCTGGTTTAAAAAATAAACATACCGCTTTCTTGTAGTTTGGGGAGTGCATTTACGACCGGTATAAAACATGATAGTAACAGTTCATACAGTAGTCCAACTACTGACTTTAAGCTGTAAGCCACATACATATATGGAGGCCCTGGCAGGCTTGAGAGAAGGTGTAGTGGTGTAATAAGTATAGTTTGCAGTCCATTGCAAAACTGAGGTAAAAACTTCACTTGTATGTACTGTATTGCACTGGAAACCTCTTAGCTTAAAACTTCAAAAGACATCTTGGTGCTCAGTCCTTTTAGGCCAGAAAATAAGGGGGCTCTGCCAGGTTTCCTCCTACCTACGCGACAGTGTCCTTTTTAAGCTCAAAGGAATAGGGACTCTTGTTGGATTATCTGTACCTACCACAGGATGTTTCCATCAAAAGGAAACTTAACCAAAGGTTTCATCCCATCAACCATACATCCAACAGTCTTTAGCAGAATATTTTAGATTAGCTGTATGCAAATCTATACAGGGGAAGGTGTTGGGTAGAAGGGCTTAAATCAGTCCTTTGCAAAGACTTCTCCAATTCTGTAACAAGTTAAACCCCCTTTTCCTGGAAAATGATGTTTAGTTCATAAAGTAGTGATCAATAACCGTGGCGATCCTCTAAAAAACACTTTTAAGTCCACAGGTACTGCCAGCATCTGGAAAAGTTGTAAACAGACACAGCAACAGCCCTTCGTTTTGGTTTGTTGCCGGGTCTCCCAGGGCCACGTGATCCCCTTTGGAAAGGACCTATTTTCAGAAGCTCAGCAAGATGTATGAATTCACTGGGTACATGTTAGAGAATATCTGGCAATGGGGTTAACACATCACGGTGATAAAATTTGAAACAGTCCCAATAATGCTCCTCTTGAATATCAAAATAACTTAAAATATTTTATCCTCTAAATGAGGCGTCATCTTCTGAAAAAATATTAGTGATCCTTTATAAAAGTCCCATATCTCATAAGGCTTATCCAGAGACACACCTGCAAAAAAAGGCTTTTTACAAAATATTAACATTTTGTGAATAAAGACTTCCTCCTCTTCCTCTTTTCTAGCCTGTTTTTAGCAACAAAGGCCTACCTCATTTCAATTTTATACATTGTATTATCAGAATATCAACTATTCTAAACTGGATAATACTCTTTAGCAAATAATTTTTCTGCATAAGGAAAGATCCCCATTTTCCTCTTGAAAAATGACTGAGATCAAGGTGACCATGTGAAATCCTCAATGAAGCCACAAACTAGTCCATGCAGCTTGATTTGAGGATTTTCTCTTTCTTCTTTACCGCAGGACAAACTTTTGACGAATCACATTCCTCCATCATGTTATTCTGATACATGTGCCTACTATCAGTCCAAAGAACGTTTCTAACCTTCCCACATCCCGGACTGGTTCTCGACGGGATGGACGTCCTCTTGATCGGGGCTGAGAATGCATTCTTCTCTTGTGACGCATTTTATGAATGACCTGATACAAGTCAATACTTTCATCAGGGGGAAATAGAAGACAAAGCTGGGTTCCACATTCGAGTTCAATTTCCTAGAATAGGAAAGTAGTAAAGTACAAGATGAAGATAGATGAAACTTTCATTAAACTTGTGTTTTCCTGATGTACAAGAACAAAAACAGTGTTTTGGAGGTTTCCTTCCCGAAACTGACGGTCACATGGGATTCCAATTAACTTCTTTGAAAGGTTTAAGCTTTTCAACATTGTCTCCTGTCTTCAATAAGGGTACAACTAAAAAGTATAGAACTGCCAAAGTTAAATATATAAATGTAATTGTTTAAAATTGAGACAACTGCCCTCTGCAGATTAGTTCTTTGCACAAAGCACAGAAATATCAGGACAAAGGTATCCATCCATCTCAATATAGTAGAGGAAAAATATGTCATGTTAGTGTGCGCCAACAACTTCGAGAATTATAAACTGCTAACTGCACTAAAATCCATTAGATTAACTACAAAAGCATAATAACCTGTGCAATTTTAAAAATTAAGTTTTATTTTCCAATTACCAACACTTCACTTATGAGCAGTGAAAACTTACTGTTTCTGGTTCAAAATCACCTACAGAAACTATGAAAATCAAAGGTTTGAGTTTATTTTATATAACTGCACATCCTGAATTTCATTTGCAGACCTGACAATCTCAGTACATATACTGATCTTTTTATAAAGCTCCCTTCTATTCAGAGAACATGAGCAAAGATGTTAACTGGCATTTCTAGGTTCAGAATATCAGTAATAATGTAATGAAAACTCATTTAAAATCAGGCAATTTCTCTTCAAAAATTTTTCCTTCAATTTTATTAATGAAAGCACCATATAAAGCTTCCAAAATTAGTGGAGGTCTTCTTAATCAGTCATAATCACAGTAATAGTAAGCTACAAATAAGACCATTTTCCGTTAATACTGCACACATTCATTCAGAAAGTTTAAAATGTCCCTCAATAAAGATCTTAAAAAGTGTTGATTAAATGTGTTTTTAAAAAAATCAATTAAAATAACAAACCTGTCCATCACGTCCAATCTTTACTGGTTTATGTTCATTCCAAGGATTGGTGAGATGAGCCGACTTAGTGAAGGGTAATTCACGCCTAAATATGAAGTAATAATAATTATATTCTTTTGCAGAATACTTTAAGGACCTTATGCTTCCAGTAGTCAATTCCTCTGTTAATCTTGATTTAAATGTGACTAAAAATTTAAGAACCACTTAGATTGGTAGAGCTATTCCCCAGAGACAGAGCCCCTTCAGAAATACGCTCTATGTTATCCATTTTGAGTGCTCTCAAAAACAGCTAAGTAACATAGTGCTTAAGAACATGTGCTCAAAAACCAAGACAATTTGGAATTTGAGTTCCAGCTCTCTCTCTCTCTCTCAACTTCTGAGTTTCTTCATCTTATAAACAAGGATATATATCACTTCCTACTTCATATTTGTTTTAAGTAGTTTGCAAATGAAATGACACATCAAATGTTTAGTATATTTCTTGATTCTGTACACTGAGAAAAATTTTTTTATTAACTGATAAAGAGCAGAACCTTAACTGGGTAGTTAATACCAAATAAAAATAAATGTCCCCTATTCTTGGTTCGGAGCTGCTTTACCAGATTCAAGTGTCTTCCCCATTTCTATAAGGCAATTAATTATTACCCATCATCCATAGAATGGCTCTTAATACAAATGTTTGTTTATAAACCTATGTATTTGTATGTATTAATTATGCCCTCCACTTACACTACAGTGCAGTATTCTAGTATATAATTTTAAACAAACTCTAACTCCTTCTGAGACATAAGGCAAAATGGTCTCCCGAACTTCAAAAAAAAAAAGATATCCTGTATTCTTGTAGTTCTTTATCAACCTAGCACAATGCTGAAATGCAAACACGACATTTAATAAATACTTGTTAGTTGTCAAGGAGCAATAAAAAATTAACTATATTCAGTAAGTTTTTATCTATTTATCCATAAAGAAAATAATGCCAAAATAAATAAATGCTTTAAGAACTATTGTGGCTATGATACAAATGAAACTGCTCAGCAAAAGGATATACATAAGTGAGTAAGGTAAAGAGCTGTTTTCATCCCTACTCTTTTTTCCACGGCTATCAAAAATAAACAAGCACACACAATTATTTTGTGAAAAGAGTTGACACAATAAATAGAATACAAAAGTTTCATTTTTTTTTAATGTAGATAGTCATATCTCCTTTGAAGAGAAAAATAATCAGAAAATGATTCTTAGAAGTGGCACAGGGGTAAGCTCGAAAGACAAAGAGCCCAGGAAATGCTTCACATAGAATGGTAAAGCAGGTTCAGAACACCTAAAGCAATAAGAAGAGCTCATAGCAAAAGCAAAATGGAGAAGGAAAAGCACAAACAAGTAAGCAAGTAAGCTGGTCCAGTGAACAAGCTATATAACCACTTATTTTAATCTTACATGAATTTCCTTAAAGATGAATACTGAATGCTCAAATTTTGTGTAACATTTTTAAACCTTAGAAAAAATTCTGACATTTACAGGGAAAGAGAAGTGTAACTGAAGTTATAGCAGTATTATAATAAAGTGGCACGCTCTGTGGTGGTAGTGGTGATATGAATGTATGATGGAAGTGGGCAGTAGAGTGTTGGGTATGCCCCCTAAGTATTACTGAAAGTCTAGGGGACTCTTAGTCTAACACACATCTTACTTCACATATCAAAAGTGATTCAAGAGTGCACAGAATATTAGCAAGATGAATGATTTGGGTTTGTACCTCTTTCTGTTGCTAAATACATTTCAAACAAGTTGGCCATTAAGTCAATGAAGAACAACATGAAAACAATAATCTATCAATTAGGCCTACCTTCTATTACTCAGAAACAAATTTGCTTATCAGTAATTTGAAAATAATGTCAAAAGAAGTCACACTCAAAACAATTTGCTGCAACCAATCAAAAACTGGGCAATTATTTTTTCTCCTATTCCTAAGAAAGCATCATCTCCAAATATTTTCCAGTGACATCAGTGATGCTTCTAGTCATAACAAAATGGACTGAAAAGCCTGTCTTTAGACCTTGACAGTTTTATCCATCCAAAAAATATCTATCTCTGTAAAAAAATGGCACCTGTTTTCCCTATAAAATGCCAGATTTTTAATTTTATAACTTTACTGATTATAATTTAATTGTAACCTAATTACAAATTAAATTCTAAGGACTATGAATTTTTTATTTTAAAACTCTGGGTGCAGTGGAGTAGGATTATCACCCACTCTCTCACCACCCTAACATCACAGTCCGACATTATAATTTTTTTCTCATGTGCTATCTCTTTCCATTTTGTTCCATGGACAATTATTTCCGCCTATTACATTTAAGTGACAAACCTTAATTTACTTAACCAGTTTCCTATATGGGAGGATGAGTAATGATGATGTATTTTTATGCATACAGCTTTCTGCTACTCTATTAACAATCAACCTAACACATTATTTCCACTATTGTCATTGCCCATGTATCCTCATAGTTCCTCACTATCCCACAGTAGAGGCTTCACTCCTTAGGTTAGTCACATTACTCCTTAGCCTTGCGTTTTGGCATTCTTTTTACTATCTGCTTCATAAAAAAAAGATGACTCCTTATCCACCCGCAAACCCTCTTGTCCCCCACCCCAGTTTCTGTTTCCATGTTCTTCCTGTGCTAATCCGTCTTCCTGAATGTAAACTGCATGTTTCCTTCTTATGCTTAACCCAATTCCACTATCCCTATCAAAACCCAGCACCTAAGCCAACATATTAATTACAAAATCCTAGCAGGGACCCTTTGAGGTAATTTTTATCTAACTAAAATTGGTTTTATAAATAATAGATTAGTACATGCCATAAAAAGTTCACTTAAATAATTAGCACTATATGTGTTTAAGTAACTTTCTAGGCCCAGATGGAGCCACTTCTGCCCAAGCAGCCATGTCAGCAAACTGAAATGTAGGTATTCTCAACCAACTTCAGGCTTTCTCACCCCACACAAGGTTCACAGTGTGGACAGAGCCAATCAGGTATTTCCTGTTTGTCTCTCCCTTGCTCTTCATTTTTTAGCCTATAAAAGATTTCTGCCGTCTGCTTCATTTTGCAATTCTCCACAGGAGACTGGCCATTTCATTTAGTGTTCAAGTTTTGTGTGTATCACCTAAATTGACTTCTTTAATCATTTTGTAAACAATGTATGATCATTCAGTAAGAACACAGGAGTGGTAGTAGCTCAGTGTTCAAAATACATCTTTTTCTAATGAACATTTTTAAATAATTACTCCAGTTTCAAAAGATCCATTTGCCAACTAATCCTGGTTTGCTTACTTTCTTAAAAAACACAATTTGTTCACAACTAAATTAGTCACCCCCAAAATGTTAGCAAAGTCAAAGAGTATTTTCCCACTCCATAGTAAAAACGACACATTCAATCACTAATATTACATAGATTCATGCCAGATAACATTCCAAATAATTGTCTAATTCATGATAAATTTACTGCTATATTACTAATATGGAGAAGTAAATAAAATACATAAAAGTTTTGACTAAACTTCTCAATTTTCCAACCTACATTAATTAATTAAGGGAGTAAACAAAACAAAGTATACTGATGCTATTTTTATTTTGACATTGTTAAATATTATGATCCAAATCAGTCTAGAAATTAAAAAATAAAAAGGAAAACCAGAGAGAATTATAAATTAAAACTAAACAGCTGTGGAGTTTTAACATTATTCCCAACAGGGAGCCCATTCAAAACAGAGGCAACTTTAATTATCTACATTTGTAACTGACCTGCAAATCCAATCAATTTTAAAGACACCTCCCAACATTTTAGCATTCATTCCTGCTGGAAGCACCCAATGTATAGGAGATCCTCCATGATGTGATTCTGAAGAGAGTCTTGCAAATCCTAAAGGAATCAAATCACAACATAATATAAAAATGCTAATATAGTATATTCAATGTTTTCATATATCCCAATTATTTTTATTCTCACCTTGAAATTTTCCACTCTCTCTGACAGAAAATATTAAGATAACACTCCTTGCAGATCTGAATGCTGCATTTAATTTTTTCTCATTCACTGGCAGCGTGGACCACACGCCCTATACAAATAATGCAAAGATCATAGAGGTTGTAATTAATGTCAATCTTTCATGTTTCCAATTATATTTGCAAAAGACCAAAGCTACTGATATTGTTGTATTTTCAATTCAAGTAAGCTATAATGAAGAGAGAGGTCTTACTTATCAGCTGTCAAAACAATGTAATAATTTTTAAAAAACTAAGGAAAAATATGGAGAAAATTATCGACCTTAACATAATTATTAAAGCATCTAGCATAAATACATGTTTGGGGCTGGGGGCAGGATTCAAATCTTATGGGCTAGAATTCTATGAATAAAAAACAATTACCTACAATTATTTTAATATCCTAGCCATTTACTGAGGTAAAAGCATGTTGTTTGAAGGTGAATCACAACACCTACTTTTTTTGTATTAAAAAACTGTAACAAAATAATTTCAAATTATTATATAAGTAAATCCATAGGTGAAGAATTTATCATTTCCAAGTTTTAGCATTTCCAAGTTTTTCTACTTAAGTTCAGATTTTTATGTATCAACAGTTTCACTTAAGAGACCTGGGTTCTTTACATAGAACCAGAACGAATTTTAAGCAATTTTTTGTTCATGAATATGAGAGAGAATGGGAAGCTAAGGCAAAAACTGTTTTACTGCTCACACTAACTAGCTATCATTCACAGTAAGTGCCTAGTTACTTCTGCCTAACTCCACTCCAGCTGAAAAGAATAAACCTCTACTAGATAGCTATTTGGTACATTATTCCTTCCATATGTAAAGTGTGATGGGTAATCCTCGACTTAAGTAACAAAGAAAGAATATTAATGTCAATAGAAATGTCGTTAGAAAAAATGTTGAACTTTAGCTTTTAATTTTCTAAAAATTAGCAGAAACTACAATTACTCATTTTAAACCAAGAATAGAAAGATATAATAGCTGATGTAATAAACATGTATTTTTGAGGCAAAAACACAAAAAGAAAATTATTATATTACAACATCGTATGGCAACTGGGCATATCCTTTTTGTAAGGCCTGCAGCTGGACTTCAAGCTAATTCTTTCCTTTTCTTCTAAATCCAAGTGACCTTACTTTTAAAAATAAAACATTCTCCATAAAGAAAAGAATTCAAGAAAATCTACAGGTGTAAAACAAGCATCAATATAAAGCAAAAATTGGTTAATTAACAAAACTTTTTAAAAAGTGTTAGTACAAATAATCAACAATTGAATACAGAAGACAAAAATCAACAGAAATCACATCTTTTACATTACAAAGTATAATGCATATACATATATATTCTTCAATATTGAATATGAAACCTCAAAAATCACCTTTAAAAGATTTAAAAGGGCCCTGGCTGGTGTGGCTCAGTGGACTGAGTGCCAGTCTGGGAACCATGGGGTCGCCCATTTGATTCCCAGTCAGGGCACACGCCTGGCTTGTGAGCCAGGTTCCCAGTAGCGGGGTGTGAGAGAGGCAACCACACATTGATGTTTCTCCCTCTCCCTCCCTTCCCTCCGTCTAAAAATAAATAAAATCTTTTTAAAAAGAAAAAGAAATATAACATTAAAAAAAAATTTAAAAGAAAACTCAAATTACTATTAGGTTTCCTAACCAAGCAAAAAACAGACCCTAGTGGCAACTGGGCTCTGGATCTTTATAAAGTTTTCATGAAAAATAACAGTATCTTATACTAATCAGTTCGACGTAATTTCAACTGACGCTAATACCTTAGCTTTGGCAAGAGACACATTCTCATGGTTGTTACTCTTTATGAGAAAAAATCTTGCATCTTGTAGGACATATTTGAGTTTACTCGTTTGATCTGAAAAAAAGAAATCCACATTGATTAAAGAGAGGTCATTTTCACACAAAGGGTACTATAAGCTGTACTAAAATTAGCCCTCCACAACCCAACTTTTAAAGTTCATAATCACCCATTCAACCTGTAAAGCTAAGCCACAAGACATAATAAGGCAAAGCTAAGAAAAGAATCAGCATTTTGCAAGAAGGTAAACCTAATCCAGTAATGTTCCGATATATCAGATTCATACTTAAGTATGAAAAGGACTACAAATTTTATAAATTTCTTTCATCAAGTTATTCTTTTAAAGGTTGATAATAGACCATTATGCTATTAAAAATATATGTGTATATACCATCCATGGTTCCCACAGACTGTAACACATCCTGAGATGTTTGCTATTGCTCTAAAAGATATGCAGTAAATGAACATGGAGATCTATTTAAGATCACATTATTTTTCATTAATATATCAGAACATTACTACATTAAAACCAACTATTAATGGAGAACCAATAAGGCAAAACAATGACTTTATGCAGCATGCAATGAAAACAATTTCAAATTTAAATGATACCTTTTCGGACAGCACGAACGGAAGATGATAATTTCTCATGCTTCTTTTCTGAACCTGTATTTAGCCAAAGTACATTTGTTCAGATTGAGCTTTAATAGAGATAAGACAAAATTTCTACAGTCTTGTCACATCAAGTTCTCATTCAAGACAAATTATTCTTCCTGGCGCACCCACACACACAAAAAAAAAATACTTCTCAATGTGTACGAGTGTTTTGCTTTTTGGGTTGTTTGGATTTTTAAGAATATGTATATTTGAACAGTTTCCCACTCAGAAAACTAGTCACTGAATCATCATCTTCCAAGGGAAAAAAAAAAGTGAAATTCCACTTAAGCAGTAACAGAACAGGATTAAAATAATAAGAAAAAGCTTAGTTTTCTCTAGAATTATTACACTGAACATGCCATCAACAAGTTCATACTAAACTACAGCCTCCACACACTTTCTACAGCAGATTACATTAGAATCAGTCGCATACGATCACAAATAAAGGTAAATGAGAATACCTGCATATGACTCTGATGCAGAGCTTCCACTTCTATCAAAAACAATTGGAGAAATGCCTCTAGCTCTCTTTCTCTCCTTCTTTTTCTCATCTAAAAAGAATTAAACAAGATTTTAAAAAACATTACAGCACAGGTATAGGTAACAAGAACATATCACTTTGTATCATGTTTTTTACATTAATACCTAAGTATTAATCATTACTAATCTCTCTGCTGCTTACTCCATTACCTCAGAATGAGGTGTTCCATGTCAAACACACTGTTCAAAAACTAAGGCTATTTTGTTTCTCCCACCAATTCCAATCAAATAAAAACACATGCCCATAATTGTGAGCTCTTTATCCTATAAAGGCGTCTCGAAAAGTGTTCGAGGGGGAAACTGCAAAAAAAAATCCCAACTTTTTCTTCAATAAAATTTACTTATCTATTAATAGATCTATTAATATGAAACTGCAAAAAAAAAATCCCAACTTTTTCTTCAATAAAATTTACTTATCTATTAATAGATCTATTTAGAGGGGTGGTTAAGGCAACTTGGCCAGTGTCCTACAGTTTCTGTGTAGTAGAACCTAGTTTCAAATCCCTTCCATGTATCAGGCTCCACTGTTTTAGGTCCTCTTTTTTTTTTAAAGTATACTATGAGTCTTCATAGCAATTCCAACTCATTCTTAGATGTCTAATGAACTCCAGACCCAAAGCTATTGAACTGTTTAAAAAAACAAACTATAGTAAAATAAATGACTCTCTTCTGGTGGCCGTTGCTTGTTTTGATGTCTTCCAGTCTTCTTGATCATTTCCTTCCTAAGTTACTGTTCTTATCAAATTCAATTTAAAATTTATTCCTAAAATCTGAATGACTTCCTGTTTATTTCTATTAAAAAGGTGCATTACCTGTCACATATGAAAACTACTTCAGGCTTCATTTGGAACTTAGTAAGCATGTAAATGAGGACCTAGGATGGAACAAGGTTCTCCTGTCTCTATCTACTGGTATTTTAATTATACCATTATAAGCTTCTTTTCAGCTAGGAAATAAGAATGAATATGAAAGGAGAAAATGTATTTTAATACATAAAAAAACAAAGCTGAAACATAATCATCAATGATTTTGCATACAATTTCCTCTTACAGAATGACTCTGCAGAGTTAACTATTTTAAAAGCTTTAAATAAATTATCTCCCTTCATCCTCCTAACAAGCTCGTAAGATACAGAATGCCATTATTCTCATTTACAGAAAAAAAACATCTATTTAGAGGGGTGGTTAAGGCAACTTGGCCAGTGTCCTACAGTTTCTGTGTAGTAGAACCTAGTTTCAAATGCACGACCCGTAACTTGAGAAGTACAAACCCTGAGCTCTGTTCTTAATGAGCTAATGAAAGTTATTTTACTACTATTCTTGAAAGGGAATTCTAGGTCTAAGATGGAAAACTCCACGGACATCCTAAGTTCCTTTTCTTTCAGTTGAAGCATCTTCTCCTCTGTAACTGACTAATAAATGCTTCTCCAAATAGATGCAAAATGAAGCTTGTAAATGACACTTAATTTTCCTAACTTGGAGCTGAAAGGGAGAACAAAGAAGCACATAACTGAACAATTACAAAGCTAAGAGCATTTAAAGCTAGCAACTATGTGGGCAAAATGATTACTTCAAGTAACCAGTGATATTTTGAGAAATGCATTTATTTCCAGGCTTGCTGGCTTTGAATAATGAATGATACATAACTTTGCGGACTGACTGAAACTTTTAGGATAAAGTACTGAGAACCTCACCCAAATAAGATGAGAAACTGGCGCTGTGTCAAAATCTACATCTCTTTCTAAAGCATTTCTTTCATTCACCGACTACACTTTCACTATATATATGTGCCAGGCACACAGTATGCACCAGATTCATTGAATAAATATGACATTCATATAAAAGAGATTTAAAAATATATAATCTTGTTAAAATTTTTCGTTCCAAAATCCTAGCATATTTCTTTTAATTTTTCCTCGAATATTTAGGAGTCTATTACAAATTGATCACTAAGGGTGATATAGCTCTTGCTATTATTTAAAAATACTTTATAAGGGTCAAATATATGGTGATGGGAGGAGCCTAGCCTTTGGGTGGTGAATACACAGATGCTGTATTATAAAGTTGTACACCTGAAACACCTACAATGTTATGAATCAATGCTACTCAACTAATTTAATTCTTTTTAAAAGATCTTATTTATTTTTAGAGGGAGGGGAAGAGAGGAAGGAAAAAAGGGAGAGATATAGCAACTGCTTACCTCTCCCATACCCCTGACTGGGGACCTGGTCACAACCCAGGTGTGCCCTGACCAGGAATCAAACTAGCAACTTTTTGGTTCACAGGCCAGCATTCAAATCCACTGAGCCACACTAGCCAGGGCTCAATAAACTTAATTTTTTTAAAAAAACCTTATGGTTCAAAGCAATAAAAGATCTTCACAAAGATAATGCAGAAAAAAATAATAAAAGCACAAATACATCCGGTCCAACTGTTTTTATCTAATGTTAAATCCACCATTACTATGAGAAACCTGCAAGCATTTTGCATCTTTTTTGCATAAATAATTCCACTGCTCTTAAATTTATGATCTCCTCTCCCACCTATTTTTCTCAGGTAAAAGAACAATGAAAACCATATAACAAACAAACCTTCAACAACCACAAAAGTGTGTCACTACTGAAAATCTTGAGAAAAAATAAACTAAATCTAAAAAAATTTGGCACAGAAACCAAAGTGTAATCCCTTGTATTTAAAAGCTGACATCTCCTAATGAAGGAGCCCCAAATCCACCTCATTATTTCTTTTACACATTATAAAGAGAAACTACCTCATGATAAAAACACTAAACACATACTAATTTCTAAAACATCTTCCACATAAGGGATCTTTGAGTGAAAATCTGTAAGATTTCATTTATTAAGGAAAATAAACAGTTCCAGGTATCTCTTTTAAAACAAATATTTATCTTCTATTAACAGTTTTGAAATCAAGATTTTACAAAACAGTTGGATACCATTCAATGTAAAGTATCTTACCTACAAAAATACAAAGTATCATTAAGTACCTTGCTACAGTATCAGCATCATTTCTAAGCTTGTTAAAAAAGCAGATTTCAGGTCCTTCCCAATTAAGTAAGTCTGTCTCGTATGACTTAAACAAGACAAACATTTAAGTCTAAGAAAGAGTTTCTACCATGGTGATCAAGAAGACTCCTATCATAAAATGTTTAACCCTAGGGTTGTTATACACATTTTCCACAATAAATGAACATTCATTCATATTGCCGATGCAATTTTTGTTCTCTATCCATTATTATAAATTATAAAAGATATACCCCACCAGTTTTCAAAACTTCCAAACTTAAAACTCTAAGCAGCAAAAAGTTGAAAGCACTTCAGCTGTCAATCACTAGAAAGTAGGTGGCCATTTGCTCTATCATCTACATTCTAACAAGAATATGGTTTACTAACAATGTACCACTAAAATGATAAAATTTGTAATAATGAATATGTAACTATCCTATATATCAAAAGAATAGTATTTTTCTTGGATTCCAATGTTTAGTACTTTTTGCTTAAGTAGCAGATCTGGCTGCATCTTTACGTAAGACAGCTGTGAGAGTATAATCATTATATAGTGGGTAAAGGTCTTTAAAAACCCTGACTTTTCCTTGCTGTACTCTCTGAATTTCTCCCCCAAAAGAAGCCCCTCAGCCTAGTGACTTCAACCACCTAAAGTGCCTACAACTCCTGGATCAAATAGTGATAAAGTGGTGGGGCATGTAGTAATAAAGGAATGACCCAAGATGGTTCTCACCCAACCTCCCCACAAGAATTTTGTACAGTCTTGTTTTACATTCTATACCATTATACCCAGCCTTCTGGAGATCCTGCACCAGTCAGTCAACACAGAGATGAAGAACTGAAAGAAAAGGTTGTGCTCCCAAAAGAAAGAAAGAGTTGTTTCAATATCTACTGCCACATAATGAAAATCTAGAGGCATTTAACACGGAAATATTCTAGTAACTAGTGCACAGGTGCCATATACTTCAAGCACATCAGTGTTTAAAAAATGTTGTTGCTAACATTAAAAACCCAAGAATTCCTAACATTAAGACCTGAAACACATCTCCCTATAGAAAAAAAGTGAACTTATGTTAATTTATAATACAATACATTCAAGCTGGTAAATGTCTTTACAAAGGTATGTAAATCTTATTCAAATGTATTTACAATACACTTATAGGTTATTAAAAAAAATATATCACAAGGCAGTCCTATTCACCTCCTCCATCTCCTCAAAAATATTCTAATTCAATTTAAACATGTTCAAGAATAAAACTCATCAGGTCAAAAAAAATTTTTAAAGAGCTTTTGCATATAAATAGTACCTGATCCATCCGTGCCTGAACCAGATCTGACAGACCCATCTGTGAAGGAAACGGATTCAGAATCAGAGTCGCTAGCTTCACTTCGAGTGTCATAATCATTTCCCTCTTCCTTCTGATCTCTCTCATCCTGTTCATATTCTTCTTCCTCCTCCTCTTCCTCTTCCTCCTCCTCCTCCTCTTCCTCCTCCTCCTCCTCCTCCTCTCCATCTTCATCTACTTCTTCATCTTCCTCTGCATCTTCTTCTACCTCTTCATCTTCCTCCACATCCTCCACCCCTTCCTCCTCATTCTCAGTGTTGTTGCCTTGCTCATCGGAAGAACCACTGCTGCCAGTCTCACGGTCAGAACCATACTCTTCAGAGTTCACCTCTTCCTTAGAAGACTGGCTGGATCTGCTTGCACGTCTATCCACTTCAAGCCCAATTCTCTGATGTTTAAAGAAAAAGGGAATCAGCAGTCATGTAACAGAAAAGGTCAGAGTGAATAAATAGTTCTAAAGCCTCAGAAAAAAAATTGCTTTCTGTTTTATAGCTGCAATAATATTTACTACCTCAGCACCATCTGGCGTAGGAGATTTGGCCCTCCTTTCAGGATCCCTTTTCCGGAGGCAAGCTTTTTCCGGTTGACTCTTATAAGGTTCCCTGGAGGCACTGCTTGATAACCGAATCTTCCGGTCAGCTTCTAGACGCTTGTTTCTCTCGGATCTTTGATATTCCTCATTTTTATATTCTGTGACTGATTTTCCCTTTGTACTAACTATTCTTTTGTTATTGCTAACTGATGAGCTCAGTGGCTTAGAAATCAACTGTCTTGAATGAACAGAGGGCTTTTGTCGTTTGATGTCAGTAGATTCCATTCGGTCACTTTTTCTTTTTGATCCTTAAAAACACAATTTAAAATAACATATAAAAGTGTTTGGGTATTCCATTTATTTCACCAAAGATTAATAGATATTATATATCAGAGAGGAGAAAAACCTCATTTATTTAAAATCTCTTCTGAAATAATTTTATTCCAAAGTTAATCAGAAAGAAAATACAACTTTCAAAACTTTGAATGATCTCATCTATTTGAGATGTTTTACACATTTGTAAAAAAAAAAAATTACTCTTACTTGTGGAATTAGGTACCACTGTTTATGATTGTGCTTTTGGTATTAATGCCTCAAGAAACAAATACAAAAGCAAAATTATTTTCTTATAAAATTAAATCTCTGTCTACAGTTATTTTAACAAAAATAACAGAAATCTTACCCTTTTTCTCGTTTTTATCTTGTTCACTCTCTGGATTATACAGTTCATCATCTTGTTCTGGTACTTCAGTCAAAATATCATCTAAAACATTAAGTTCTCCATCTGAAAGCAAGAAAATTAAGGAAAGTCATTATCATTAAGGCTACAGAAGTATGAGAACATAACCCTAAAAAGAAGTATGAATATTTCAGGATGAAGACAAAAGAGTAATTCCTATAAAATCATACAAAGTTAAAGATGATATAGAACCCTGCTCTACAAAGCCAGGAGTATACATCACACAAGGTATGAAAGGATATACAAACAAGGACACCAAGGGTGACGTTAGAACTTCAATATTGTATCTCACATCATTTAATTTCTAAGTGTTTTAACTGCTTAAAATGTGTACAATTAGTATGGAAATACATGTGTAAAACTTAGAAATGTACATTTACTAAGGATTGTGTACTCCTCGCAAGATACTTATTGACTTCCAAGAGAAAAGCTGGCAGACTCTAGCACAATCTAGTTAATCAAAGTTACCATCATCAACAGTGGGTCAAATCTACATCACGGACCTCCAGCACTGAGCATAGAACAATTCTGTGACATTCCTATGAAAAAATGCAAAATTTGAACCTATACAAGAGGAAACATCAAACAAACTCAAATTAAGGAACATCAAATGTCAATGCCATATGTGATTAAAGTGACCATGACTAACTGAATACAGCACTTGATCTGAAACATAATTGGGAAAATTAATAAAACTCTAAACATGGTCTATAGATTATAGTCATATCAAGGCCAAATTTCCTGATTTTTTTAGTATGTACATTATATCTATATTAAGTAAAAGTTGATCTCAATTTTTAGGAAATACATACCAAAGTATTAGGGGCAAAGAAGCATTATGTCTGCAACTGACTAACAAATGACTCAGGAAAAAAGTGTGTTTGCATGCTATGCACACATATACACTGAGAGAGAAAATGTGTTCGAGAGAGAGAATACAAATTAGAAAGACAAATGTGGTAAAATATTAACATTTGTGGAATATGGCTGAAAAGTAAATTATCTGTACTATTCTTATTGCTATTCTGTTTGAAATAAAGTCAAAAGAAAGTTAAAAGAAAAAATTACTGATGTGCTATACAATCAAATACATTTGAAGCTGCTGGTACGGACCACAGAAGTGTAACTTGTTCAGACAAGGAAACTACTGCTGTAACTGACATGCTGTGCAATGATCACAACAACTTAAGAATTCAGTTTTGTCACCGCATTCTCACCCTCATGCTCTCCAATAGACAAAGTAAATCTTAGAAACACATGCAAACATTTACCACTTTAAACTGATTTTTTTTTTAAATAATGGACTAAATCTAATAGTAAAAGTTTTCAACACTAAGTATTCCAGTATCAAAAATAGTTTTACAAATACAAGATGTGGCAAAGAGAAGTATAAAGTCATGAAACTTATGAGATACGACGATTGTATTTATGGCTCCAGCCAAAAAGCAAGCCCCCTCAAAGTATAGCAAGGGTTATTAACCTGGGTTCTATAAGCAGGCTAGATGGGATTCAAATTTCCCAGAAGGATGATAGAAATCAGTGACTGAAGAAAACACAGTTAACGTAGGTGTGATAAAAAGGAAAGCAAGTTTAGATAGGATACAGAGGAAGTTAACACATACCATCTCCTCTGTATTTGGAGTTAGACACAGTTGCTATTTAAGAACATCTGAAAATCATGTATAGCACAGCAATTGATTTCTGTGGTGATAAAATGTTAATCTGTACTTTACCATTTATAAAGAATATATACTATATGGATTTTTAAATTTTTGTTTACTTATTCTTTTAACCAAAAAGACTTCTCTCACCTTCTGGATTTAACATTTTTGCTAAGGAGGACATTCTCTCAAGATCTGAATGGTGGCAAACAAAATTTTAGACTTTATATTATAAATAAAAGAAAACCAAATAATTTGATAGAAGAAAGTCCAAGTTTTGCAGATATTTACTATTTCTTGGGTAAAAATTCTCTAGTCAGAAAAAGAAATAGTGGGTCCCAACAGATTCTGACAGAATACATAAAAACAAAAAGAAAAAATTTAAAACTATCACAACAAAGTAATCATGTAAATACAGTGCTATTTCTTTTCATGAAATTATTAGTTCTTAATTAGAAATATCAACTCAAAAGTAAGGACCTTCATATGAAATTATACACTTTCTATGTGTTAAATTACAGAATTAAAGAACTATGCAGTTGCATTTAAATCAACCTAAATGTCAGACATGCCTAAATCATGATTTTCCGATTATTAAAAAGTGAATTTTTGTTTTAAAAAGCTGTAACAAGTAAGTAAAATTCGGAGATTAGTTTTAAAAAGCATCTATAAATTCTTAAAATAAATACTAACCAATGCTTATGCTTTTAACACTTTATAACTTTCACATGTATCATATATTCATATCATAAAAATACATAAAGTATGTTTTATCCATTCCTCTGCAGATATACAAAATTACTTATGTAGAAATAGATATGAATCTAAAGTTTTGGCTTTCTAAACTAGGGCTAAATTAAATGGAGAACATGAAAAACACCTTTAAACGATGTACAAGGAAACAACAAAATGTCTATTAAAAGGTAGTGTGCACTACATTAATTTCAAATTAGTGTATCAGAATGCTCTGTATTACCAACATTACAGTATCTTAAATGTACTTTTAAGATCACCCATAGCATCCTCACTTAGTGGTCCACACATTTATATTTGTATTATAATCCATGATTTCAATAAGTTAACTGTGGTTTTATTACAATATTGGCAAACTAACACTTGCAGAACAAGTTCAGCACAGGACTTGTCTTTGACCCCTAAGAAAAGAAAGGTTTTTGCATTTTTAAGGTGTTTAAAAAAAAAAGCAAAGAAAAACATGACAAAGACTGTATATGGCCCACGTAAAGCCTAAAATACAATTTACTATCTGGCTCTTTAACAAAAAGTTTGCCAGCCCTGATATAGACGACAGCATTTTAAGTTATTTTTCTCCATCACTGAAACTACTTTTTTACTGAAATACAACAGAAAGGAGAAAGATGTGAATTTGAAGAAACAAAATCCAGGTTACTATTTAAGAGCTAGATATCCTTTGGAAAATTCCAGTCTAAGCTCCAGTTTCTTCACCTCTGGTAAGAGGCATTTAGAATAAAAATATCAGTGTTTGAAAAAGGAAATAGGGAGGGCAATTATCTGAATAACCTGATGAGTTTCTCAACCTGTAAGCCTTTTCCTATCACACTATCAGATTCTAGTAAACCTTATCTTCCACAAACCTTTTGTTAATGACTAGGGGACGTGATATACAAAATCTGATCCAAAACACAAAACAAAATTCTTTCGGTAAGACAAATATATACATGTTCTGATTACCTACTGTTGTGTAATATCCCACCCCAAAACTTGGTGTTTAAGATTTTATTTATTTTTAGACAGAGGGGAAGGGAGGAAGAGAGGGAAATATCGATGTGCGAGAAACATCACTGTCACCCCAAAACTTGGCGATTTTTTTTAAGACTTTACTCATTTATTTTTAGAGAGAGGGAAAGGGAGGAAGAGAAACATCAATGTGAAAGAGCAACATCAATGAGTTGGCTCCTTCCTATACACGCCCTGACCAGTAATCGAACCTGCAACATTTTTGGTTCATGGGACGTCACTCTAATAAACTGAGCCACATCAGTCAGGGCACAACTTGGTGCTTTAGAACAATACAATCATTTATTATTGCTTATGGTTCTGAAGCTCAACCTAGGTGGGTCTCTCATATAGCTGAAGTTAGACAGTATCCAGGGCCAGAAATCATCTGAAGGCTTGCGCATTCATTCACATTTCTGGCTGGCACCTAGGATGGGAAGACTCAAAAACAGTTGAGGCTTCTCGTGCATTTCTTTCTGTGTTCACTCTCCACCATGGCAGCTCCAGGGTAGGCAGACCTCTTACCTGCTGATTTAGGACTCTAAAGATATACAGATTCCAACAGAAAAAGGGCCAGGTAAAGGCTCAGCAACATTACCACAGTATTTTATTCAGAGGCAATCACAAAAGTCTACACAAGATCTAACAGAGGAAACAGACCTAAGACTCCGCCTATTGTTGGGAGAGATGTCAAGTACTTGGTATTCTGTAGATGTTTTCAAAACTACCATATACTTTCTTTTGTTTAAACCTAATGATTTTAATTGTAAATATAAGGTGTACATTTTAAAACCCCCAAAAGGTGAGAGAGTTTATTGTACTGAGTTACAAAGCTAACTTAAGCGGGTTCCTCTGACCCCTTCTTTCCTTAGCTAGAAAATGTACACTTACTCTATATTTTAATTCATTTTTTCAATTTAGAATCAATTAGTCATGAAAAAAATAAAAAGTTATTTTAGTATTTTCAGAAGCTACAGCTATTAGAGACCAATCATCAGTGGCATACCCCTTTGGGAAAACAAACAAACAAACAAACAGACAGTAATGTCCACAAGTTCTCTATGGTGACTTGAAATTACTTTAGTAAATGTTTAAAATATGTTTTAAAATTTAACATTATTGTGTATAGAAATATGTATATTAAATTACTTCATAGTAGTTAGAAGCAACCCAACCTAAAAATATTAAAGTAAATGAACAAAGGAAAGCAAATGCCAGGTTAAGGAAAGTTCTAGGAACATACAATTCATGTACTATGAAAATAACTCTAATGCATTATTTCTATGATAAAGCACTTCATAGTATGTTATTTCTGTTCCTGTTTTTGGTAAGTCTACATAAAGAACTCTACAGAGTTTTTTGAAAGTCATTTTAAAACCTCAAAAATTAAGATGCCACAACAAAATGAATTTTTTTCATGTCAGTCAAATGTATTAGCTCAGATGAAACACAAAATGCTTCATTAAACAGTGTATTTCCATGTATGGCTAAAATTCAAGTCCATCCAAAACTTATACACTAATAAACTGTTAGATGAATCTAGCTCTTGGACACTTCATTTTTGACAACTAAAGATTTAACATAAAAATCCAAACCTTGTATTTTTAAAGAACTACTTGATAATTAGGGGCCCCGAGTCTCCCTGAAAAGAGCCAGCTGGAGCAGTCCTAGTAGTCTTCCTTTAAGACCCAGAGAAGGTAATATATGTGAAGGTCTGGCAGGAGAAAACATGGGATTATGCCTGGCAAATCAGTTTATTTTCTAATATTGCCTGGACATGGAACATGCTTGCTCTTTTATTTATTTTTTAATGTGTACTCACCATCACCTATTATATTAAACAAGTACTTTATCTGCCTGACCCTAAAATGCATATAAGCCTGAAATTCCCAAGTAACACTGATGTTAAATAACTGTCAATCAATTGAAGGTTCAGTTCAATAAACACTGAGGCACAGGGGACACACCAAACTCCATTTTCGTAGATATGGTACTTTGTGAAAGAGTAGAAATACTAAAGGGGGTAACTGTACTCAATTCCCATGGATTAACTGCCTTGACAGAATATTGTCAGATTCTTCTAGATTTTCAAGAGAATTCCCAGGTACAGATTTTTATTTGTAATTGCCTGACTTTTAAATGTTGCCTCAGTTACACAAAAACAAAACAGGCTGCTGCTAGCTTGAGCCCTCTATGAAGTGTAGTCATCTGTGAACCTTTTGCTTTCCCAATATACAATGTATATGGACTTCATTTAATGCTCACTGGTGCAAGCTAAGATAGCAAGATCCCAGTTATCACAAACTATTAGCAAACTGAGTTTTTACATACAGGTATAGATTCAGGGGTACAAGAGACAAAAGTAAGGAAATAAAAAGAATCACTATTTTTAGAGCCTGCTCAAAAACTGTCAAGATGTTAGCAGTAACAAGGCTTGTGTTTTGTCACTTGACTGGGGAATTTTGGTTTGAGATAAACATGGGAACTTAGAAAGTCCGCCTTTCAAAGTAGTTAACCTTTATAAGGTTATGTACGCAACAACTCCAAAATGAAGCCCCAGAACTAAAATGACTGAAATCTCACAATCCTGAATCCAAATGTAGTATTCATTTAACTTTAACCTTGCAATTCTTGGCCCAGTAAGGCCACAAACTCCAGGGATATTAGTGTAGAAAATTAACGTTTAGCTGAGACACAGTCTTTTTTTTTTTAATTCTTCTTTTTTCAACCCCAGAAACTTCTAGGTCAAGAGACACAAAATACTATTTATTTCAGGGGCCAGTATCAGACTCAGACCAAGAGTATTTAAATAAACAAAACTGGCAGGTAAATATACATTGTGTTTTCCAATCAGTACCAGAGTACATTATACTTTTTATTTTAATTTATTTAACATAGTTTTACTGGGGTATGGCAATGAAACAAGGTTTCCTGGAACCTCCTTTTCTGTTACATTTTACTTTAGACAGTTTCTTAGTTACTTTTTTGTCATTCAAAACTGTCAACCCTTTAAATGAAGTGTAGATATTTGGATTTCCCATCCCATCCATATTTCTTTTCTCTCAAAAACACATACAACTGAAGTCTAAGAACACTTAATTTTTTATGGTACTTTTATTATGGGTAAAACAAATGCATTAGAATACCTAATACATACTCCACACTTTACAGAGCCCTAACTAAAGTGGACCAAGAATAAAGTCAATCTTATTCTAAGGACAGACTATAGGGAGGGCTACAGTATGTATATACATATGTGTGTGTGTGTATAACTGCCTGTACCTATTTATATACTTGCCTGCATTAGTGTGTGTGGACATATATAATTCAAACTCTGAAACTCTTGGCTTTCATCATCAATAGCAAATGTCACATAACTACTCAGTTATTAATGAACTCCAACTGTAATGATTTACAACAACACAATTACTGTACACTAGGAACCCAGTGAACAAGACTTACACCTCCTGGCCCTCATGGAGCTTCCAGTTTGGTAATGCAGAAAACACATTTCTCATGGAAGGGGTAACTCATTATCCACATTAAACTTTATAACTATTCTTTGGAGAAAACTTTATAGAAGCTTAAAATATAAAATAAATAAGGTATTTATAATCTAAAAGACATGTACTTCCTCATACAGAAACACGACATTTAGTATCAGTTATCACCATCAACATTGCAACTTCTTTTCGAATCTACTTTTTGGACAAATAATCAAAGGAACTGGCAATCTGACCAGTTATATAGGCTTTAGCTGCTAAGTATGGTTATTACAGAAGCATTATAGAACTTGATGTCCCTTTATTACACAGCTGATGTGAAAAACCCAATAATCAAAGGACTCTATGTTCAAAACTCTTTTAACTGTTCTGTTATGAAAGCATTTAGAAGGAACCTAAGGTTTGTGACATGTCTAAGATTCTCACAAAGCTTATTTTTATAATTTTCCAATGTTGCATATAATATAACTGATGATAGTAAGTACTCAACTTCCCACTGCTTCTTGATCAATTATGAGAAGAAAAAGTCAAGTAGTGATTCTAATTCTAGCTATTACTCTGCGTGAAAATGGTCCAGTAAGTTAAGACACTCTGGGCCTCAGTTTTCTTATTTGCAAAATGGGTTATTGTAGAAATCTTCCCATTTCTATACTAAGCAAATTCTGGTAGGTTTGTACTTGCTAGCTTTCTCAATAAACACAAGATAATCTTAATCTAAACTATAAAGATAAGCACGTGTATCAAAACTTTTAAAACAGGTAAAATCAATTATGGAAATTAAATTCTATAAAAACTTCAAAAATGTGAGGCCTTTCAAAAGTTGGACAATTTATCCTACATACTCCTACCAGGTGGCATTTCTGCTTCCCAATTATAATTACAAAGTTTATGTATTTGGATTGCATTTTTATCAGTAACTCCATTTCTAAAACAAAAATACTTAAAACATCACCAACTTGTCTTCCTCAATCTACACTACTGAATCTACTCTATTACTGACCTGCAACTATGTTTCAAGAGAATGAATTCTTGAGTACTGAGTTCTACTCATTTTGCCTTTGATTCATCTCACACATAACTGCAATCCACTCCCATATAATCAAATGCTGACTGGATTACTGATTAAAATCATTTGGTTTAATAACCTACTTTACTATTCATTAAAAGTAGTTTCCTTTATTCACTAACACCATGCAATTCTACATTCACATTCCCTCCGGATTTCTCAAAAGTAGGGATGGAGATTTCTTAGGATTCATTTAGGGAACAAAAATTAAACTACTATATCCTAATCATTCAACTGTGTTAGAACAGGAGCAGTAATTAAAACATATTCCCACCCACCGCAGTTCCCAAGCTTGTTCCTATCCTGGGGCACCATTAAGACTCCTCTCTCTGAAAAAGAAGAGTAGAGGCCCAATGCAACCAGACTCTAGAGCCCAAATAACAAATCCCCACCCCAATTAACTAGGCACACAGAAGGGTAGATCTGTGTGAAATACGGGACAACAGCTGTGCCATGTTTTTTTTTTATCAACTATAACCTTTCCAAAACCAAAGCGGTAAGAATGTTTGGGTTGGAAAAGAACTTAAGTCGGCATTTATTGATCCAGGATCTACATTAACATCTTAGGGCCTGGGGGGGGGGGGGTCGGTACTTCCAAAGACATGGCATTCCATTCCGACATCACCAGTTCTTCCTATATTTCACTGTGATTTTATCCCTCCAACTCTCTATAAATTACACTCATTTGTTCCTGGTTGAACCCTCTGAGACATCAGCACTATGTATTTTTATCAGAATAGTGGCCAAAAATTTTTGTCAGGCCTAAGTCACATAATTATCTTTTCAAACATCGCCTATTTTCCAAAATAAGTGTTCTAAGATCCGAACTGATGATTTTTACGACTTGCCTATTTAATAGGAACAGCCAGGAGAAATTCCTTGTACATTATTTCTCGAGATTAATAATCCACCTACCTATACCACTTTCTAAACATGTTCATTACTAGACTACCATCTTTGATCGTGGCATTAAGGGTTTTCGAAATTTAGCCTAACAGAAAAGGCTGTTCTGCATTCTATGGGCATAATCCTACAAGGAAATAAACCTAAGGGCCTGGAACTCAGAAAAGGCCTTATCTTAGCCCCGCCCAGGACAGCTCAACGGAAAGTGAAGAGGGGAATTGGGATCAAAGAAAAACCCTAGGCCAAATGAAGTGTTAGATCACATGGAGATCCAGAACGAAAGGGCAGGCCCGTTCTCTTCCAGTGCGAGCAAGTGTCTCGGTGGGGGCACCCGCCCCGCGCGGGGCAGCCTAACTCCCCAACCCCCACCCTGCAACGGAGAACCACCACTCCACCGACCCACTCCCGAGCCCCGCCTCCGCCCGTCACCTTTATCCGCACTAACCTTTCTCCTCCCGACTGTCGGCCGCCATTGCTCCTCTCCTGTTGCCGCTGCCGCCGCCTCGACGCGACTCGCGCGTGGGCCGCAGCCGCGGCCGCAGTAGCACAGGAACGTCCGTCAGTCCGTCCGCCGGGCTGCGTGCTTAAGCACCTTTGCCTCTACGACTCGCCTTTCTCGACTCACCGTTTTTCTCCTCGCTTTTCCCCCTTCTCCCTTTTCCCCTTTCCTCCTTGCACTCCAGCCTCCGAAGGCTTAGGCCCAGTCTTCCCGTTGGGGCTTAGGGACGGGAGGGGGATAAGTGGGAGGGAAGGGAAACAGATGGCGACAGCGGGCGGCGCTAAAATGGAGCCTGCTTCCTGCATGAAACAATCCCACTCCCAAAATGCTCTGCGCTGTTTACGCTTCGTTCCTCCCTGGTAACGTCACAGTGCGGAGAGGGGCGGGGAAGCGAAACGGGCAGAGAACGTGAAATAACGTCGGCAAGTCGTCCCGCCCCTGCAGCCTGATAGTTCCTAGATTAAGTCTTTTTGGTGATGAAGGCGCTGGAGAGTTTTATCTGCTGTGTGCTGCGCTGAATACCCTTTTGTTGCTCAGTTCTCCAACCTGAACCGCCCACAGGCGGCCCTTCTAGCTCCAGGACAAATATATTTCCTATTGCTCCGCAGGACTCCTCGTTTTCAGTTCTGGAAATCGGAGACTTACACAGAACAAGTCTGGGCTGGTCCCTTTCCTTTGCTGCCGCCACTTTCTACTCTGTATACCTGGAGTACTTTCTTAGCTGGTGTCCCCGGCTTGCTACCAAAGGCAGCCCTGGATGCAGTCAGCTCACTTGTTACAAAAACCTACTGGTTTTGTTTTTAATTGGGAAGGGAAGTATACCACGTGTTAATATTGCATTTTAGTCTACATAATAAATTTGATTTTAGAATATTGAGCCCTGGCCGAGTAGCTCAGTAAGAGCAGCGTCCCAATAAACCAAGGTTGGGGGTTTGATCCCTGATCAGGGCACATATAAGCAGCAACCAATGAATGCATAAATAAGCGGAACAACAAAAAAATTATCAAGGCTCAGGGGTACACAGTTGATTGAAGCCTAGTGAGAAATTGAAACTACAGAAGTGGCCAAAAATTTCTAAGCTATATAATATGGCAAGATATGCAAAGGAACTTTAAGTTCATTGTCCAAAGAAGTGAGAATGTAACTCTGTTACCTTGCTCCATAACTGTGTTTACAAAGGAAAGACGACTTGAAGGCAAAAAAAAAAAAAAAATGAAACTGCTATGTGAAAACAATAAATGGTACGTTCAGAGAAAGACAGAGTCTAGACTACCTTGGTCCTTTATGGCCTTTGTAATAAGTTGAGATCAATTGAAGGCCTTGGGAAGATTTTTAAGGGGTGCAAAAACAAGAATGGAGACTTGTTCGAAGCGGTCTGGTGGATTTTCAGGAAAAAGAAGGAAAAACAATTCAGTAGATACTGGGTTGGCCAAAAAGTCCATATGTTTTTTTCTGTAAAAGACACATTTTTCATTTTCACCAATAACTTTATTGATTTGGATATATTGAGCATGCCGCTATCTCCTCGTGGTGTAATGTTGATTGTTCTCAGTGTCTCCATTTGATCACTCTCAGCTTCAACTACTCTACCTGACTGTGGAGCATCATCCAGTGACAAATCTCTGGCATTAAACCACAAACAACTTTTGACATGTCCAGTCAGTCACAACACCTTCCCATACTCTGCACAAATCTTTTTCTGAGTTTCAGTTGCATTTTTACCTTTCATAAAATAATAAAGCATAATATGCTGAAGATGTTGCAAATTTACTTCCATCTTCTATGTTAAAATAGCTACACAAAAATTCACCAATTTTAATAAGTTTTTAAAAATGCATGCTGTAGGACAGCTGTCACAATACAATATAACCAATGTTTCTAATGGAGTTAAAGACAAGTACCATCTTATGAAAAAAAAAAAAACAAAACGAACTCTTTGGCCAACTCGATGTAAAACCCAGCTACATATTGGATACTTATGAATCAGAGGTTAACAGGACAGTACTTCTGCCTTTAAGAAATTTTTAGTATAATATAGAGATGTTAACAGGAAATTACTGTGTAAGAATAACAGCTAAAAATTGCATATTCTTATGTGTGCATTTGACCTACACAATATGATTTCGTCATCCAAAAACCTAATTAAATTATATTACTAGCTCTATTTTATGTAAAGGGAAATTAAACACAAAATATTGGGAGTGCAAGTACCATGATTCAAATGCAGGACATTTGGCTCCAGCCAACCAGCCCACTAGACAATACACACTGCCTCATATAGAGTAAGCTCAGGATGTAACGAACCCTTAGGGGTGTGTCACTCAGACTGGGGAGGGGGTACAGAATGCAGCAATGGTCAAGAAAAGCTTTCTGGAGAAGGGAAAAATAAAGCCTAGTTGAGAACTAAAAGATTACTAGTTTAGATGAAGGGGAGACAAGACAAGGGCGATGAGCAGGATCATTTTTATGGTCAAAACAAGGGGAGTGGTTGTAGGTGGCAGATCTGCCCATGGTTCAATTCAGGTTGCTATTCAATGGTTATGTAAGAAAAGGCAGAATCAATAAAACTGTTCTGTAATGTTCTTCATTGTTAATTCAGTCAACTAATATTTACCAAATTCCTATTCAGTCTCAAATCCCAAATACTGTTATAGGCACTGGAGTACTTCTATATATAATAGGATTGGAGTTCTTTCCACTTGGGCATAAGTAAACAAAATAAAAATCATGACGAATTTTATGAAAAAGACAATAGGCTAATATGACAAGGCAAGGAGGGAGGTGTGCTTTTAATGTAGAAAAACTAGTAAAGGCTCTGTGAGGAGGTGAGGTTGAGACTGACACCAAGAAAAAGGTAGAGGTAAGAGTCTTTCAGGCAGAGAACAGTCTATAAAGGCTCTGTGGAAGAAAGAGATCTTGGTGTGGTCAAGGAACCACATGAGCTGGAGCCCAGATCATGAGTTAGAGGGCAAAAGCCTGAGATAATATTTGAGGAACAGCCCACATCTTTAGAGTGAGGAACTAACTAAGACCCAGGCTAAAGCAAAAGCAATACAAGATCTGCAGAGAGACAGGATTTCAAAGTTAAGCCCACTGGAGGGTGGGAATGGAAAACATCTTGGGCTTTCCACAGTTCTACACCTGTAAAATGTAAAAGCAAGTATATACAAGTTGAAAGTGATCAGCATTCCTCACAGAAGAAAACAAAATCTCAAGACTCTGAAACATATTTTCACAATATTCAATATTAATTAGGCCAGGGCCAGGTAGTATAGCCACGTTCCAAACTGGTTTTCGCTAACGTCAAGGCTTTCCTTGAACTAGCAGTGTTGTGTGCTCTTATTGAAATTTAATGCCTTTGATGAGCTCATGACCTTTTCAAAGAGTCTTGGCCTTCACCACCCCTCTCCATTGCCTTACCTGTGGTGAATGTTACTAATTGAAGTATATATCTATCAAATGTGTGGATTCAGAGAAAAAAAATAGGTAGTTGGATTCCGTTGCTCTGTAAAGGTTACTTAGAGTAAGGAACAAAGGAAACACAGTCCAGAGTCTTAGAGAATATCATTGTAGGAAAGGCAAATGTACAGTATAAACCTAGAACATCTTGTCATACAAGAAAGAAGTAATCAAAAAATGTGAACTAAATGACTCAGAAGAGTTGCTAACTAAAATGTCTTCCATTGGACACATATGAGATATTTGGAGCTTCTGTAAAGGTAAAACTGCATTACACTGAACTATATCGAATATGTTTTGTTCCATGAATTTATAATAGTTAAAAAAATTTTTTCAGCACCCTTTGAATGATGCTAGGGAACAGTTCATCATTTTGAAAACTGGTAAACAAAAATAAATTATGATTTACCTTGTCTTTCAAATTAGAACTGTATCTTAGGGTTAACAAGCAAGTAGTTGATGAAGGGAAGTTTCTCTTTATGAAAGTATTCCAGCTAATACATGGCCAGGGCAAGGCAACGACAGAACCAGGACATCATCATTTTATATCCACTAACTAAGTAAACAGGTCAAAACAATGGTTATTAATTGCTGCCAATTAATATAACAAAAAGACAACCAGATGTTATATGCCTCCTGATAGAAGGACATAACACTATCTATAAAGAAATCTTGCCCCAAAATTAAACCTGGATTTCATCAAGACTTTTATCAGTGGTTCTCAAGAGAGGGTAATTCTGTCCTCAGAGCACATTTAGAAATATTTGGAGAAAATAATGGTTGCCACAACCCAATACAACTAGCATGTATTGTGTCAAAGTCAGGAATGCTATTAAACGTACCACAAGAAAGCCCTTGTCTCAATTACAAAGAATCATCCATCTCAAATGCCAATGGCGTTCATGCTGAGAAATCATGTTCTGGGGCACAGGCAAAGCACATGTGAATATGTTGAAAAATGACACACAACTATCATTAGCAAAATCCACACAATAGGAAACTATGGAACAAACAAGCAGGTGTCTTTAAAAATAAATTGCAATGTATGTCATTAAACCGTAAAAATCATAGAAGAAATCATATGTAGTAAAGTCTCAAACATTTCTTGTAGCAATATTTTTGCACATGTCTCCTAGGGCAAGGGAAACAAAAAAATAAATAAACAAATGGGACTACATCAAACTAAAAAGCTTCTGCACAGCTAAAGAAACCATCAACAAAATGAAAAGGGAATCCTCTATATAGAGGAATATATTTGCCAATGACACAGCTGATAAGGGGTTAATATCCAATATTTATAAAAAATTTATACAGCTGAACACCAGGAAGACAAACAGTGCAATTTAAAAATGGACAAAGGATCAGAAGAGACACTTCTCCAAAAAGAACATACAGATGGTCAACAGACATGAAAAAATGTTCAACATCACTAATCATCAGAGAGATGCAAATTAAAACCACAATGAGATATCATCTCACACCTGTCAGAATGGCTGTCATCAATAAATCAATGAACAACAAGGGCTGGTTAGGACGTGAAGAAAAGGGAACCCTAGTGCACTGTTAGTGGGAATGTAGACTGGTACAGCCACTGGGAAAAACATTATGGAGTTTCCCCCCAAAATTAAAAACAGAACTGCCTTATAACCCAGTAATCCTACCTCTGAGGATATATCCTAAGAATCCCAACACACCAATTTGAAAAAATATATGTACCTCTATGTTTATTGAAGCAATATTTACAATAGCCAAGCTCTGGAAACAGCCCAAGTGCCCATCAGTAGATGAGTGGCTAAAAGAGCTGTGGTGCAGTCCCGGCCGGTGTGGCTCAGTAGATGGAGTGTAGTCTCTTGAATCAAAAGATTGCAGATTTGATCTCATGTCATATACCTAGGTTGC